ACCACAGGACTCTGCCATGCCACATCAGCGGCAACACGACCTTGTACGAAAGGTGAATCGAACAAGGTGGGATGCCGCGAACACTTTTGCACTGCCGCAACCTACTGATCGTGAACCACGACCGCTTCAAGAAAGATTTGCCTCCTCTTACGAAAGTCGAGTTCGACAAGAAGTACGGAGCAAGCAACACCCCCACGCAGCATGTGGGGCAACCTCCCACATCAGGCACGTACAACACGGTCCCCCCCCGCCTGCCGAGTCCCACCATGTCGCCAGCAACAACGAAGGCTACATCATCCCGCACTTCCACTCTTATTCCTTTCAGGCAGAAAACACACCGCAGTTCCAGCGCAGTACTGCCGAAACCAGCCCACCAACGCCTGCCAGTCCCAATGGGTCGCCATACTCCCCTGTCATCAGTCCAGGATATACGTACCTTCAACAGCCCTCCATACTCCGACACCAGCTCAGAGTATGCCCCTACCAGTCCACCGTACTCCCCAAACAGCCCGCCGTACTCGCCTCACAGCCCCACCAGCAGCGAGGACGAGGCCACCATACTGTAACGGGCTATTACTACCCACCGGCTCGTCCCGCGAAGATGCAAAAGCGGGAACCAGCCATGAGCAGGGCGGAGCAAATTCAGATTGAGCACGCCGCAATGTCCTTAGCCATCATGAACCACGTTCCCTCGGGGGATGTTCACGCCACCTGGTCCATCGCCTACTCAGCCATCCTGCTGTTTCTCCCCAGCTATCCACGAGACAAAAGATGTAAGGATGTCGAATTACCGGTAATTTGAAAATGGGGGCTGGTATTACCGGGTACTGTAATTTACCGGTAATACTTTTGTCTATTACCCGGTGGTTGGGTGGGCCCAACTTAAGAGCCATTTAAGTTGGGTGCACCCACCTTACCCTTTGGTGGGATTATTGGGAGTTGTCGTTACCGGATTCTGGTTTTTATTAGCTCAAAATGACGGGTAGATGTCCTCTTTACACACGCATCTACACTATTGAGTGAATCTTATCCGTGAGCAATTTTGGGAAGTATGAGGGGTAGGGAAAAGTTGTAAAATTTCCAAGTGATTTTGGGGTTTAACCTACCCATGCTACTCAACCGAGATTTTGAGGGTCAAGATGACCTCGGATGAAACTTTGACAAGACACTGCAGAAAGAGCAACTCGAGAACTTGATGACATAGGTCTCCGAATTTCCAAAGGACCTTCGAGTGTCACGGGGAGTCCCTTATATTGCCCAAGTTCTTAGGTATTGTGCACCCAACCTAAGAGAAATCCGGATTATTTCAGCACATACCCTATATTGAAACGGCCTCATTATATCCCGCAATCTTGGATTATAGTAGAGGTATAATGCATACACATTGTTCAAAGGGAACATAGTAGCCCATGGCCTAGCATTGTTTTTGGCACTATAAGTCGGATATTCGAGGGGTTATTGACGTTTGAAATATGGTTCTTAGGTTGGGTGCACCCAACTTAGTGTCGGGTAATAGACACTTTGGCTGGTATTATCACAGTATTATTACCGCCTGCAAGAAATGACTCGACTTTCGCCCCCGGGCTCCAAATTCGTTTTTTTCAGTTCATGTGGGTTTGTGTTGACCATTGAAATCGTGTGGGCACATGAGATTGCGTATGCTACCACGAACATGCATACGGTAGAGCATTACATTTTTCCAGAACTGCAGACAGCGTCCTCACCCTAGCCCGCGTTAATATTACATGCTCATCACTATGAGTTGTCAGAATATATATCCTTCCCACACATCCACGACTTACACAAATTACACATGATAGCAATGAAAGTGTGTGAAAGAAATACACATGCACAATTAATGTCGCACAATAGCAGTTTCCATCATGGCAGGGCCAACAGTTCAAAGTTAATCAGAGGAGTTTTAGGGTTTGGCATACGGTGAACAGTGCCTGAGGCGTCCTTCCAGTCGAAGCATGTCTCATTCGAAGAGAGAGAGAGAGAGGGAGATGTTTGACAAATGTTGGTTTTAGGGCACGCCCTGCGAATCGGCGACGTACACACCACGTGCAACCCCATCCATGACGATCGAGGGTTGCCCCTGTGCTGCATGACGCATCGCACAGACACCGTCTTCTGGCAGCACGCCACCTCTGCATTCGACACCAATGACGGCTGTGACGACGCGATGGCATCCCCTGAGCAACCCATCATACCAGTATATATGGCGCGCAACATGGTGAACCACCAAGTCATCCCAGCCACGTTCCGTCGCCTGACACCACAGGAAGGCGTGGACGACACGGCCGGCAACGACAAAGCAGTAAGGGGTCGAAACCCTGACGACGCAAACACGACCCCTTCCCTCGTCTTAATCAACAACAACGACTGGATCGAAGAGGATCACGAGGAGGCCGGCCTGAGCCTGTCCGCGTCGGTAGATGAGCATATCTCACAACATTAGTACTTCGTATAAATAACACTAGGCCATCATAACGGTCCAAGTGGCATACAAATTAACACTTTTGTCTGATCTTAACACTTGGCAAGCGTATGAGGGTGCGTGCCACTTTTACACATGTTCATCTAACTTCGCGGGAGTACTAATAAGCTAGGCACGATTGCCCATCTTCGGTAACAAGCGTGTCGTCTCAAGCACATCTAGAAAGGTAGGGTTGAAGCGCAACATCTTTGTCGTGCAAGGAAGTGTGCGGTTGAAGTATGGCCATAGGTCATCACCATGTTAGTACGAGTGTATGTAAGTACGTCATAGCAAAATACGAAGTTCATGGACGGGATAAAATGTCAACGTGACCTGTAGGGCTGTTCCATTATTGTCCTATGGGGGTGTAAGGCACTTCATTTTTGTCCGGAGAGGGAGGAGGTGGGAGTGACCTGGTGGCCCTTGCTGCTTGCTTAACAACGTATTTTGACCTCAAATGTCAGGTGGGAGGATGCTGCTGCGCCACCCCACGCAAGACAAAAAAATGGAACATCCCGTAGGACCCCGCAACCACATTCATATCATGTGTATGTAAGGTGAGAGATAACCAACAAACGATGATGTCATTGCAACCCGCAGTTGCACGCGACTTTAGAGCTTCACCGCCCCTTCATCATCGATCGCATCATAGTTCATTCTTCGCAAAAGCTCGCTGCACGCATTTTTTGATATAAAACAACAAACCGATTCAACTTACCTACACGCTTCCAAGCGCAATGTTCTTGAAAATTTATAAAACAAAGCCAATATTGATCAGCAACAAAGTTCCTCCACTACTGTACCGCCTTTATTAATGCTTTCAGCTTGATGCTTCGAAGGCTCCTTCGTTCGTTCCGTGCGTCCTTGTTATTAGCAAAACTACGTTATTGTTACCCTTCGGTGTAATTCTAGGATAACACAATGAGGCACACCGGCAGGCAGCGTTTTAACACCCACCGGCATATAACCTTCAACATACGGTAGACCGCCGACACACACATATCTTGCAAGGACACTCAATCCATGACCACGAGCATACGATGAGGCAAACCGGCGGGCAGCGTTTTCACACCCACCGGCATATCCTTCAGCAGATCGTAGACCACCGACATACACATATCTTGCAAAGACACTCCATCCATGAATACGAGAACACAATGAGGCATGCCGGCAGGCAGCATTTTCACACCCACTGGCATATCCTTTATCAACATAAGGTAGACAACCGACATTCGCATATCTTGCATGGACACTCCATGACCACGAGGACACAATGCGGCACACCGGTGGGCAGCGTTTTCACACTCACCGGCATAGCCTTCAACATAAGGTACGTAGACCATCGACATACACATATCTTGCATGGACACTCTATGTATATGACCACGAGGACACAATGCGGCACACCGGTAGGCAGCGTTTTCACACCCACCGACATAACCTTCAACATACGGTACGTAGACCATCGGCATACACATATATTGCATGGACACTCTATGCACATGACCACGAGGACACAATGCGGCACACCGGTAGGCAGCGTTTTCACACCCACCGACATAACCTTCAACATACGGTACGTAGACCATCGACATACACACATATTGCATGGACACTCTATGCATATGACCGCGAGGACACAATAAGGCACACCGGTAGGCAGCGTTTTCACACTCACCGGCATAATCTTCAGCATACGGTACGTAGACCATCGACATACACATATATTGCATGGACACTCTATGTATATGACCACGAGGACACAATAATGCGGCACACCGGCGGGCAGCGGTTTCACACCCACCGGCATAACCTTCAACATACGGTACGCAGACCATCGGCATACACACATATTGCATGGACACTCTATGCACATGACCACGAGGACACAATGAGGCACACCGGTAGCTAGGCAGCGTTTTCACACTCACCGGCATATCCTTCAACATACGGTACGTAGACCATCGACATACACATATATTGCATGGACACTCTATGCATTTGACCACGAGGACACAATGCGGCACACCGGTAGGCAGCGTTTTCACACCCACCGGCATAACCTTCAACATAAGGTAAACCATCGACATATATATACATATCTTGCATGGGCTGCGCACGTTTTGCTCCTTGGGGGGAGGGGCCGGCACAGCACACTTAATTGCCTCCCTCCCCAGCCCCCCCGACTCCGACTTTCGGTCATGGGGGATTCGGTACCTCCCCCCCAGACCTCGATATTTTGCATCGGAAGGTTTTGACCCTCCCCCCTAGACCTCAATACTTTGCCACGCACGGATACCACCATCTCGCGCGCGGGGGCGGGAGTGCCCCACGCGCGGATACCACCATCACGCGCGCGGGGGCGGGAGTGCCCCACGCGCGGATGCCACCGATCACGCGCGCGGGGAGCGGGAGTGCCCCACGCGCGGATGCCACCGATCACGCGCGCGGGGAGCGGGAGTGCCCCACGCGCGGATACCACCATCACGCGCGCGGGGGCGGGAGTGCCCCACGCGCGGAT